TTAATATAATTTAAGTTTTGTTTAAACATATTTTGAAATACTTAAGTACCTTGTAACTAGATATATACACACACAATCAAAAACGAGCTCAAATAGACTTATTAAATTTGTAATTATATTTATATATATGTATATCGAATATTTAATTTTAAAATGGACATTAAGAGAAAGAACAAAAATGAACGATTTGAAATCGTTATAAAAATATAAGCCATTAATGTTTAAGTTTTTCTATGTATTTATGGGAATATTGCAGAGACTTTTACTTTTACTTTTATATTGTTAATATTGTTTTTGTTTATGTTATTATACTATTTTATTTTTTAATATTTAATATTTAATATTTCTTACTCAAAGAACTCGAATGCAAAAAAAATTCAATTATCAAAGTACCGCTTGCCAATAAAAAAATAATTGCAAAATTATAAACTCACTTGTACGAACTTAAAATCGTAATTATGTCAATGCTAATGATGATGATGGTGCTAAATTGCAACTAAAACACATAAACATACACATTAATCTAACTACACGAAAAAATCAAATCAAAACATAACATATATGTTATATAAGATACTATATGTAGTTATAATGCATATAAGTATGAAACTCATTCAAGTATTCAAATTCAAAACAAAAAAAAAAAAAACAAAATTAACATGATTAAATTAATGTTGTAAACTTAGTGTGCTTCTATGTAATTCCTAAAACTTAAAACAAAAAATTAAAAATGTTTAAATGTCGAATTTTTAAACGTAACTATCTCACATAAAAAAAAACAAAGAAAGAAAAGATACTTGTCTAATTGACAGGCAAATATTATCACTTATACATTTTTATCTCACTAAAGATTTTGATGAATTTATAAGTAATTAATTATATTTAGTAATTACACACATTTTTAGCATACAAATTTAACATTTTATATATAAAATTATTTAATATTAATTTCATTTAATAATATAGATTGTTAGTCGTTATGGATTGTTTCATTTTATTCAAATTCGTAAGGCAGCATTTCTCAAAACATATTTATTTACTTTTAAATATAAATACATATATTTGTTTTAATAAATATGCTTAATTACTTGATATTATATAAAGTAAACATATCGTACTATTTTTGTTTCAAAATATTTATTTCATTATTTTTATTATTATTATTATATATTCTATAATTACGAAAAAAGACGTATATTACTCACTACATTAAATGTTTATATTTAGTTTAAATGTTATTTTATTCGCGTTTAATAATATTTAATTTTTTTATAAATATATAACAATTGATATTCATTTTTGTGAAAAGGAAAAACTTATACATTTGGTTACTTCTAATTTGTATTATTTTTTATTTGTGATACTAGCTTAAATTAACTTGAATAAAAATTTTTGAAATTAAGAAATTAATAAATTCAAAATATAGCTATCAACTTTAATGGATATTAAATATAAAAACGTTTGTTTCATTTAAAAATATTCGTAGATAGTTTAATATATAAGAAACGATGATCATTTTTCACCAAGATAGTTATATACCATCTTCATTCTATCGAAATTTAATACCATTAATTCTATTTACCATTCTTCAAGTATTTTTAGGTCATTGGAATTAAAACAGAGATTAACGTTTAATGAGTTTTATGACTTGGTTTTAAAAATTGATTTATTTATTTATTATTTATTTGTGAGTTAACATTAAAATTAATTTTAAAGTTAACTAAGAATGAGGAACTGTACTGCTAGGACCTTCGCCGTTGGTTTTAAAAATTGTTTTTCCATGGTCAGTGTTAAACGTTAAGGATAAACGCTTTTTCAATTATCTAGCCGTGGAGGATAACTAACTAAAACGTTGAAATTTAAACAAAATAAGCTTAATTTGTTTTGGTTTTTATCATTCTTCGACTTCTACATACTTGTAGCTCCGTCAAGGTAGGATCGAATCTCTCTGAACCTTTTGATACCGTGCGAGGCTTCAGACAAGGTGATCCCTTATCATGTGATCTCTTTAATTTCGTCATGGAAGTGGAACAATATTCTACAAATGTGTCCAGCTCCTTGCTTATGCCGACGACATTGACATCATTGGGCGTAGAAAGCGTGATGTTACAGCTGCTTTTGCTGCTATCGAAAAGGAATCTGCAAGAATGGGGTTAGCGGTGAATAAGGTCAAAACGAAGTACATGTCGGTTACTGGTAGAAATGTTAGTCGCTCGGACGACTCACATTTCTACATTTCTAGGGTTTTTGTAATAAAAATAATTTATAGAATGATAGATAACTAGATAGATAATAACTGCAAGTATTTTATGAAACAAAAACTCAAAAAACATAAGCTTTTCAGACATTTTTATGACATTTCTTCAAAATTCTGTTTAAAAAAAACAAGCAATTTAAATGTGTACTCATATCTGAATTATGGAGTCAACTTTTTTCAGTCAAACTGATTGAAACCAGTTAAAAATTGAATATGATTTGCCATAAAAATTAATTAAATTTAATATTTTAATTATACAGAATTGTAAACCTGATATTTCAGTTGCAGATAATTGCAGTAAATAATTTATCTTTTTTTAGATTTTTGATTATGTATTTTAATTTTGAAATAATAAAGGCTATTAGCTTAAGCAGACGAAACTTTGCACTCAAGTACAACACTTTTTTTTTATTAATTTAAAAATATATAAAAATGTATTAATTATATTTTTATCATTACATACAGTTTAATCCACAGCCGTGGACTATATAAATTCAATTACCTATCTTCGTTGCAATTTTAAATATTTTAATTATTATTGTTAAAATAGTTTTAAGGACATCAGTGTGGATCAGTTAATAATTTTCAGTTGCATTATTTATTTATATCCATGTAAGCTATGTCATTGTTATGTCCGTCTGAATGGTAACCTTCGGGAGAGGTAAGACGACGTTCTGTTGTTGTAGCCGAGAGGCTCTCGGGTGTAAACTTTGCGAGGAACTTGTAGTTCTTGATTTATAATGGTAGATATAAACAGGGTCTGGCGCAGTCTTACTTCCTTAGAAATGAAAATGCATACAGCAATTTTATGTAATGTCTTATATATAAATTATAACATTTATGTTTAACACTTCTGAATCAGAATAAAAATATTTAGAGTAAAGAATGCACTGTCTTTATGCTAACTCCTTAATTTAGGTCATCTATTTTATTTAATTATAACTGCAAATTAACAAATTTCTTAACAAAATTAATGTAATGTAATCCAGATAAATGTTTTGGCAAATCAACTTATCGTATCTCCAGCTATATAACTAGGTCCTTGTCATAGGTAGGTTCTTGTCAATTGGTCTACATACAATATATATGTTGTCCCTAGCTTCAGTAGAAAATGAAAATTGTTGGTGCCAAGATCCGTTGGGTCATTCATTATGTACGAGCAAGTGCCACTCACCATTATAGTTGAAGATTACCTGTTGGTAAGAAAGAAGTATTATGTGGATAGTCTTAAGTAGAAGGGAGTTGTTATATAGGGTATTCAAATTCTAAAATCTAATAAAATTTTTTGTTGTTTTTTATAATTTGAAAACATTAATATCAGTTTTTAAAAGCAAACCGTGTTTAATATCAGCTTATGAGTATTTTTGTAAAGTATTATATAAAATATTTTTATATGTATTTACATATATATATTTACATATAATGTTACATGTATTATATTAATTGAATATGTACTCGTACATAAAAGATAAGAAAACTTTGCACACGCTCATTTATATCTTATGTTAAGTACTTCTCTCTGGGCCTTATCGCTGGACTTGTTGATATTTTTATCAAAAAATTATTTGCAGTTCCCAACTTAATTTTCATTTACTTAAGATTTTTTTATCCATTTTGAATAAACTCAGCAAATAACTATAACATTGTTTTTAAAAATATTTTTAATATTTTTTATTGTGAGGGCCTTACTCTGCCTTCATTGATATTTTCTCTTCAGGTTTTTTGTCTAATGATAAATACAAGTAACATTTGCGTTTATGGAGTGTGAGTTGCTGGATGGTTTGTTTTTAAGAAACCCTATAGGAAATGTAGTCAGTTGCGGTGTTATTATGAATTGGTTTACTTGAATGAATTATACAATATATTAAATATTGTTGAGATATCTCTAAATATGAAATTTAGAGATATTATTATATGTTTAAAAGAAGAAAAACTGTTAAATGAATCTATGTATTTATGTCAAAGTATCCCTATATCTTCTTCTAGTTATTAGTTACAATTATCATATATGCATTTAATATAATGTATAATATACTAAATATATAAGTATAATATAGATTTTTATAGAGATGATAATATTTTGAATTTAGAATATTTTGGTGAAATTAATTAATCCTTCCTTTGGAGATGTTGTTATAGATTATATATATATGTGTATCTGTCAATATTATAATAAATGCTTGACATTTACAATCTAACAATTATATGGCGTGCGACAATACCTGAGCCCATCGAAAAAAAAAATTCGACAACGGAAATATAGGTGATTGGACACCGTTACGCAAAAGCACAAATGACGTAGCACATGCGGCACTAACCTGAAATCCGCAAGGCAGTAGAATCCGAGGACGAGCATGCAATTCTTGGAGTAGGACCATATACAGTGAAACAAATAAATCGACAGGTGAACTGAGATATATCGTTCGAAATAGGCAAAATTGGAAAACTTTTGTAGAAAATCTTTGTGAATAGGCTTAGTTCAAATATTGTACAGCACATGTTATAATAATAATAATAATTATATGTACACAATTAAAGGAAATAAATATTTTTAAAGATTATTAATAATGTATATTTGCAAATATCCGAAATATCTTAAAAAATAATTTTTGTAGTTATATGTCTTTAATATTATCCCCAAGTGCATTATTTTTTTAATACAATGTCTTTCTCAATTTTTCAAAAACTCGAATTTTTCTATTCAAAATAATATTAAAATATGCAATAATTTAATTATATGAAACAAAAAAAAACAAATATCAGTATGATTAGTTAGTATTGCCTTTAATCCAGGGATGTTTTAATACTCCAGCACTAGAGTAACGTTGCTTTTGATCGACTTTTAACATGTTATTTAACAAATCCCTCGCTGATTCAGATACCTTCCATTCTAACTGCTTCGGAAATGTGTATTTTCCCGATCCAATTGCTGCAAACATTTCCTCCTTTGTTTGGAACATTTTCTTAGAGAATGCTGACTTTCCAGTTAACATAATGAAAAGCACTAATCCTGCAGCCCAAACATCTATTTTTGCTCCATAACTAAAACCCTTTATAACTTCCGGTGCTGCACAAGATGGTGTACCATAGTATCGTTGCTGTGAAGAAGTACATATTTTACAGGCCGCTCCAAAATCTGTAAGTTTAATATGTTTAATATCATCACTTGAACTGTCACATTCGGCTAAAATGTTGTTAGCTTTTACATCACGATGAATTATGTTCTTGGAGTGAAGATACGATAGCGCTTCGGAAAGTTCTTTTAGAACTAAACGAGCTTGTTCCTCGGGCACATGTACTTTATGAACAATCTTCAGTAAACTGGCACCTCTCACGAATTCTAATATTATAAAAAGTTTGTTGTATTTTTCTGCTGAATCGATCAATTTTACGATGTTTCTATGATTTAACCTTCTCATGATCTCGATTTCAAGGTGTGCATTTTTGGATTTGGCTTTATTGGCTACTTTTAGAGCGTATTCCATGCCTGAGCTATGTTTTAAAATCTTATAAACGTTACCGAATCCTCCTTTTCCAATGAAACAATCAATTGTGTAATTGTTAGCGATGATACTTGGATATTTGCCTACCGAAAAGATATTGCAAGAAGCTATCGGTTGTAAAGAATTATTATTCTCACATCTAGCTGGAATCTTAAGAAGTTTTTCCTGCAGTTGTTTTATGGATCTTGATTCACCAGGACTCAATACAAAATTATTACGAATTTTATGATATGCTGATGCATAAACAAAAAATATATCATGGGAGCTAAAGAAGTCTGTTAATTCGTTGACAGGTTTGCCTTCCAAATTGAAAATCTTTTGAACAAAGCCGGTATTAAGCTTGATAACATCAGAGATGGCCTGAATGACGGTGTCAAATGTCTGATTGTTATTTTTGTACAAAAACAGATGCGATATATGACGTGGCCTTGGGCCATTCTTAATTAGAAATATTAAGTGAGGAGCTTCTTTACATACGATAGACTTTTTAGATTTTACCTTATAAGTAGCAATCTGATTGCTGCATGGAGTAGTTTTACCGACTTGTATTTGAGATGGTTTAGGTTCACATGCATTTTGATTCTTAATCGGAACAAATTTTTCCTTCTTGCAGGCGCAAATATAAGTTCCACCATTTTTCAAGTCTTCAAGGCTAGTTTGAACATCACCATTTGTTGCGTATATTGTGGTAATGGCGCTTGTTGTCGCAGAACTTGTGGCAAAGATGCGAGTTAGATCATCTAAAAGATTTTCCAATGTCCTGTATCGTTTCTTGGAGATGGTAATTATTTTCTCGACATACAATTGGTCACCGTTACGAAAAAATTTAATACGTTTGGCCTTATTCAACTCGATTTTATTGGGCGGGCCTACTGGAACGATCGGACTTGGTAGTGTTTTGGTGCGATTATCAAACTCAGTTCTATGCATTGTTCACGATAAAATAATTGCTTATTATAAAAAAACAAATTAAAATTTACATTTACAGAATTTATCGGATCTTGGTGGTATCTATAATTTTGAACCAAGTTTCTTATTGCTACTATTTTGCGATAATGCGTAAACACGGAGTTTTATATTTCAAACTACTTCTTAAGCTGCATTTTTGAACTTTTTATTACAAAATATTATTATAAATGAAGTTGTAATACTACGATTTTAACGTTTTATTGTTTTTTCAGAGGTAATTCGATTTAAACATTTTAAAAAAATCTGTTGTATTTTGATTAGTAACTCTGGTTGCGGGATGACATTAGACTAAGGAGTGCATGCTAATTATACTCAGTGGTTCGATTTTGAACATTAGAATATATCCTCCTCAACACAGGTGATTGTACGGGTTTAATATTCGAATTTACTTAGTGGTGGTGACACTTTCGTTCAATTATGTTATATTGTGTCCATTGCAATCATATAAATATTTGCAATTGGAATAGTTTAGTTGGGTTATATTGTCTTGATTATATTAGATTATAAGAAGTTAGAGTTAGAATATCCTACTCTGTTTTGATGGATGAATATTATATGTTAGCAGAAGGTATAGGATGAAATGGATTGTAGAATGCTTAATGAATTATTTATTTTTCATCACATATTTTATTGTTTTTAAAAAGGCTATTTGAGCTTTTCTTAATATACGTACATAATAATAATAAATATCTGATATATTCTATCAGACAAAGTTTAAAAAAACTTTGTCAAGTGGATACCGTTTGCCCGTTTAAAGTAACGACCTCTATATTTTAAATATAAACTAGGGAATAGCGGTACTGGGAGTAGTATAGTAATGTAGGTCTATTAAGATTCATATATAATAAGGAGATGAAGTTCCTTCATGGCGTGTCATTTTACGGTATTTATACAAACACCTCTTCATTATGTTAAAACTGGTGTAAGACTGTCTTTATGTATGTTATCTGCTGTAGTTCTTAAACTTAAACGTAGATTCTACTATTCTAGTCTGGAATGGTATTGAAATTATTGATCTTCGGGATTCATTACAGTCTGAAATAATTTATACTTATGTGTCAGTATATATTGTATATATATAATTTTATATTTAATAGGTAAGTGCAGTAAATGATGAAAATATGTTAATATATACTTATAGAACCGAGACCTGAGTTCCAAAGATTTTGTCTCCAAGAAGGATGTATAAACGTATTGGTGTTACTTGATAAGTTGAAAGTATTGCTGCGATAAGATTTGGACAAATTACATCAGCATTATAAGATAAAATACGACTATCGTGTCGTTATATTCAGTTTATAGAGTCTTTACTTCTAGTCTATTTAATATTATTAATTATTATAATATTATTAATGTAGGTGTTCGAGACATTATCACGACAATATAAAATAACATACAGTTATTGAAGTAACATTATTTATAAACCTTTATCTAATTTTTATACTGGTACTTCTTATTATGTACAGTTTGTATTTTCAAAGGTATTTTATATAATCGTTTAAGATATTTAATAAAGTAGCTGTCGATTGTTTTGACTATATTAAAAGATATTTTTAGTTATATATTTCCAGGTAAATTGATAATTATAACCTTTATTAAAGCTATAAATACTGCAATTAACTAGTATATTTTTAACTAAATGTATATGTAGATATCTTATGAGTTTTATTTCGTATATACTATACTCATATAGACATAGGCTTTCAAATTTCTTACTTACTCGTACATATACATATTTTACAAAAATATCTATTACGTATGCAACAGTAACTACTACAAAATTTGATATAAAATAAGTATTATATGTCAGAAATTTTATCAGAAATAATATAAATAAATATTTACGGACGCATAAGTCATATCACATGATAATAAATTTAATAAGCAAAGGATTTATAATTAGTACCGCTTCTATAAGTGCGCCTTATCAAAGTAATACATATAAGGCGTTGGTAGCAGTAAAGATATGTAATAAAATTTGCTTGAATAATTTTATTTAAGAAAAAATGCAATGTGATGTGATGAGGTCACTTATTTATATAATTTTTTTTTACAATTTTCACTAATAAATTGTTACTATATAATTGATCATCTCAAATAAATAAACTTTATTTGATTTTATAAACGAAAACCTCATAAAAAGTTGATCTGAAGGGTTTGAAGGTCGTATGTGAACAGATGAACCATTGCTTATATTTTCTTACATTTATGGAATGCTAAATAAAAAGAGTTGGTCTACATCTAATGATCTAATGATCATAGGTGTTAATGGTTTAAAGCCAGTCTTGATGTTAATATATGAACAATTGATTTTGGCTTTTTAAATTTTTAGAATGCTGAATCTATAGTATAAAACACCACCTTACAAGACTGGGTATACCTACGCATGCAAACTGTAAATTCTGTAAAGAGAATGATAAGTCGGCCACACATGTGCTATTAGAATGCCCTGCGCTAATGTACATACGGAATAGTCTCCAGGGAATGTATATTTTTATGGAAAAGGCAATAAAGCTCTGTAAAGTAGGTTCTATATTACTTTTTATTAAAGTAACAGGGCTTAGAGATCTACTCTAAATCCAGAAGGGGCCACAATAAACCCGACAGTCGCAGTATCACATCTCCTAACAATAATAATAATATAAAAATCTATAGGATGAAATAATAAGAGTTTCAGGGTAGTAACTTGGCGAAAGATGTTTTAAGGATTTGAAGCACATCTGGGATCTGAAAAGACGAAGAGTTACAATTGTTTTTTATTTAATTTTTAACTAAAACTTACTGGATGTTTGAAGTATTTACGTGTCAAAACGATTGCTTCCCGTAGATTCCCATAAGTCTCCGAATTAAATATATCGCTATGGTTGTAGTCTAAATGGAATCTGTTCTAACTTAACTGAACTTAGTGACAAAATTCTGTAATGTTAAAAATATTTTATTTCCATTGATTATGATTGATTCATATATATGTTACCGATATATTATTTTTAATATTAATTAAAAGTCAAATGGTTAGATTGTCCAAAATAATTCTGACATATTATTAATTTCCTTATTTGATCGATTTTACTTTTTATTAACAGTAAAGATTATCAAACTTGGCCACTTTAAGTTAAAAACCGGCTACTTTAAGTGTTATTAAAAGTTGTGGACTAACAAGTGCTTTTTGAGTAATAGGTTCATAGTCTTAATAACATAAGAATCTAATTTATTATTACACATAATAGTTTAATAAATTTTTTGATTTTTTCTAAGTAACTATATCAAAGTGCTTAAAGTCTTTGGTTGGGGAAACAATTCTAATATACCGACAGCTCACATGGTAAAAAGTAATGATTTTTTCGACAAGTTCAATTTTGTAATCAATAAATATATTGAGTAAATATTGAAGTTATCAATTATAAAATTTGTTATCAAAACATTCGAATCTACCGCATTTATGGAAATTGATAATAATAAATAGATTGCACCGCTTATGATCGTGGTTCCTTTAATCAATTTTTTTGAACTAATAATTGATTATACACAGAATTATTAATGGCTAAGAAATCCCAAAATTTGCTACCAATAAATAAAAAAAATAGAAATACGGTTAAGCACTGTGAAATGCTGCCGTCCAGAGATTAATTTCCGAACTATAATATTTGTAGATATCTCCAAAAAAAGATACCTTAACAGTGTTATTGGTTTATATATTTTCTATGGGGCTTGCGTCTGCAGATAAGAAACCGAGTTTCTCACTCACACATGCAAGCCAGCGAAAAAATGTATCGCAGACAGCGACAGCGACAGCCACAGCGCATTTTCACTGAAATCGCTGTGTACAAAATACTCGAACTGGCAGACGTGCGCTTACATCCGACGAAACAAGTTCTGAAATTAACGTACACGGGCGGCTCTTAAGTTTGATATCAAAGCAAAGTATTTAGGCAAAATCACAAAAAGTTGAGATACGGTAAGGAGATATAGTCAGTCTACCTGAAGGAAACAACTGAGACTGAACTTGTCAAATTGTTTCTTTTTACTGTTTTTTTTTTGCTGCTTTATTAACTGAATTGTGTTTTCGTAAAAAAAACAAAAAAAAAAAGATATATATTAAAATGCAAATAAAAATTAAAAACGAGTTTTTGAAATTTCAGTTTGAACAACAGTGCAAATAAACTTATTCACATAAAAAAATATTCAAGGTGATTTCAACATAAAACGATTCTGAAAATAAAAATTATAAGATATAATCTTAATTTTCTTCATATATAAAAAAATGTGTTTTTCTATAAGTTCTGAACTTAACAATACAATAATCAAATCAAAACACACATGGTGAGGTGCTTGTAAATATATCAAAAAAAATTTATTTTTGGCAACTGACTTCTTCAATTATTGTAGTTCAAAATAAAATAGAAAAACCTACAAACAAAAAAAAAAAAATAAATTTTAGTTACAAAAATGGTTATATAAATGCTTGAAGATAGTATCATAAAATTTCCATATATCTAAAACTACGACTTCGCAAACTAACTGACTTTTTTCGCTTATAAAAACAAAGCACGTGATCATGCTTATTTCAATATTGACTGAGGCTTTTAAGAGATCTAAAATATACTGCGTTCACTCTAAAACTGCTCTTCCTAACTAACATTCCACTACACTACATTTTACTCCGTACGTATCTAGTCTTAACTGAAGCTAAAACCTGCGAACTACCCACAACGCGTTTCAGACAGTAGCGGATTACCTCTTAGCACAGAAGCACAAGACAAACAAAACAAAAACAAAAAAAATA